ATACACAAACTTACCGCTTCCATTCAAACCGATGAGGCCATACCGACGTCCCATGTTAAGCTCAAGCTTCGTATCCGTAACGATCTCACGTCCGTGAAATGTCACCGTTAGCCCCTCCACTTTTATGTCCATTGATCTGAAAGATATCACACATAACAAATGGCAAAGTGCATAAAATTTAAAAGGAGATGACAGATTTAACAAAAAAATCACAACAAATCTCCGGGGAATTGTGAATCAATAAATTGCTGAGATATCTTAGTGCGATAGCTGTGAACCCCTCTCCTCCCTCCACCCTCGTCTCCAGAGAAACAGACTTGGCGATCGAGTCTTTGCTGCTTTATATAACAAATAACAACATAACCGTCATACTGATGAGGTCCAGTTGTGGTACTGAAAAGGGGCTCAAAATGTTTTGATTCAAATCAAGGCCCAGAATTTTATTACACATAACAAGATTCCGATCTCACGGGCACTTTTTCGGATACCTCTCTATAAAGGGTGCATCCGAATTTAGGAAACTTCTTCATCAGATTAACATCCTCATAGCTTTCAGCTCTTGCCTCAAATTTCCAAAAAAAAAACTGTGCTTTTTCAAGCCACTCGAATTTCGATTCAGATCCAGTTGTACTGTTAAATAGGAATATATACGACTCAATGGACCGAAACATTTCTTTTTGGTTATTTATTTTCGCTCTTTATCAATCAACATAGTAATTCCAGTAACATTTTTCTCCCGCTGCTTATTCTTCTAAATTTTATTTGCTTTTCTTAAAAACCACTCTTCACTAGCATTTCCAATTTATCACCTTGGAAGCGGATCCAGGGCGGCCCTCTGGAACGGGAGAGGAGGCGACGAGCGGGGTGGGAAGGAGGAAAGTGAAACTACTGGGAGAGGGAAGGGGACAGGGGAGGCGACTGGGAGTGCGGGAAAGAATTTTCCATAGTTTTAGCACTGCTATCTGCGCCGCTCGTGAAGGTATGAAGGAGGGGGGGCGGAAGACCCACCTCCCCCCCTCTCTTGGATCCGCCTGTGATTATCTTTCTTTTTTTAAACGGTTTGGCAATTTCTAGCTGATCCTGAAGCACTTTTGGCTAAGTCTTACACCTCTTCGGAATAATTTTTTGCATTTTTTCCCCTTACAGAGACAATTCTGATGTCGGATTACACTGAGATAAAAAAAAACATTGATACAGTGGATGCGAAGTAAGTGCCCCTGCCGCTGATCGTGCCTTCGTATTCTCCAGCTCCATCTTTTCCAGCATTGCAGCGGCTACATCGACAACA